TTTAGGGTTTAGGGCAAGGGTTTAGGGTTTAGGGCTTCAAGGGTTTAGGGTCTCAAGGGTTTCGGGTTTAGGGCTTACGAAGGTTTACAAGGGTGCTGTGAAGGTTTCGCGGTTTGCGCACGAGCAAACCAGAAAGACTGAGAAGGGTTCTGCAGGTGTGTGGCCTGGAAACTTTGGGGATGAGAGTTAGGCTCTTTAAAGGGTTTAGGGTTTAGGGTTTAGGGTTTAGGGTTCAGGATTTTGGGTTTCAGTGTCAGATTCCACTGAACCTGCCAGCTGATCATCCAAACCCCGCATCTTAAACCCTGAACCCCCTGATGTTCAGGGTTTTGGGTCTAGGCCTTGAAATACCATACGGTTCAGGGATTAGGGTTTAGGGTTTTTGCATCACGACTCTACCCGCAATTCGCATGGAATTGATGAAAGGTTCGGAATGCCCTCGGGAATTCCAGCCACTGCCAATGTCACCGCCACCAGGATCATGTACATCCTGGTGCTGCTGCGTTTTTTTGGAAGATGAAGGGAGGCTTATAAAGGTTTAAGGCTTCGGGCTCAGGGTTCATGTTTGGGGTTTAGGGTTACGGATCTGGGACCTGGAGCTTCCGGCTTTTGGGTTTAGAGATTTAGGTTTAGGGTTTAGGGTTTAGGGTTGAGGATTTAGGGTTTAGGGTTTTGGGTTTTGGGTTAGGGCTTGCTAGATGTTCTGCTGAGGACACTAGCAAGGCTTGCGGCGCGCGCTTTGGGCGTGGCTCAACCCTTTAACCCCACAACCCTCGCAAACTGAAAACCTTATACCCTCAAACCCCCAAGCCCATGAACCCTCAACCGCCAAATCCTGGACCCTTGAACCCTTAACACTAACCCAACCCAAGCCTCAAAAGCCTCAAACCTTCAACCCGAAACCCCTCCCTCGAGCCTGAAACCCCAAACCCCTCAACCCCAAAGCCCGAAATCCATGAAGGCAAGGGCGAAGGAGGGTTTAGGGTTACTGTTTAGGGTCTAGGGTTTAGGGTTACTGTTTAGGGTCTAGGGTTTAGGGCTACTGTTTAGGGTCTAGGGTTTAGGGTTACTGTTTAGGGTTTAGGGTTTAGGGTGACTACCAACGCCAGCAACTGAAAGGCGGGCGTCCAGCTCGGGCTGTCCGGGAACTCGGGATCCTTCGTACCGATGCCCACCCCCGCGATGAAGACGGCGGAGGCCATGACGATCCTGGGACTAGGGGTTGATGGTATAAATCCTGCATTACCCATAAGAAGGAATATTACCATAATTCCCATAGTTTATGGGTCCTTGAGGTAATGCTGGATTTAGATCATCAACAGTAGGACTTACAGAAGTTCAGGGCGGTTTTGCGGCTTTAGGGCTGTTCCAGCTTTAGGGATCTGTGGCTGAGGTACCTTGAGTTGAAGGGATTGGGGCCGAATAAAACTAAGGGGGCAGAGCGTCCAACAAAAGGTTGTCTGGAAGGTCTTCGGCACAGTAAGGACGGGGTGGATGGAAGGTGTGCTCCGATGCAGACCTACTCAGACATGCAAGCAGCATGTTTGTTGGTGAAGTGCAGGGCTCGGCATCTGGTGGCTTAGGACTTAGGATCCCCGAGTACTTCGTGCAACGGTCTGAATGTGAAATTGATGTTCAGAATCCTGGCTAAGGGGTAAGGGTTTAGGGCTCGGTGATTCAGAAGATGCTTTAAAAAAGCCCAGGGTTTCTGGCTTAGTATTGAGGGTTTAGGCTTAGGGCCTTGTTGTAGCGCAGTCCGATCCATGCTGCAGGACTTAGGGTGTCGGGGTCAGGGTCATAGCATGTTTTGAGCCGCTGTCCACATAATTCGATTCAGCCATGACACGGGAGTGCAGGGGGGCCCTTTACCAGTCACACCAGGCTGTGGGCAATGTTTGCCACAGGAAGTTAAGGGTTTCAGATCACATCCAAGTACATACGCTTTTAGAGGTATGCCTAGGTATCCAGGCTCCTTCTGACCGCCTTTCCGTCCCCAAGCGGAAGCATGCTCGCAAAAGCCTAGCACGAATACTACAGGATCCTGGAGAAGCGTTCTTTCAGGAGGCTTGCTTGGAAATTTTTAAACGAAGCCCCCTCCCCCGCCCCCCCCCCCCGCCGTCCACCCCCTTGCACACCAGAGGCCTGAGACCCCCCCACCCTAACCCCCCCTAACTCGGGTCCTCCGACATCTTCGATCCTCCAACTCCCAAGCAAAACCATCGAAACCCCCGGGGCCCTGCACCGCTATCCCTAAAGCCCGAAAGGCCTGCAGAATCACTGCAGAACCCCTCGCAGGTGCCCTTGAAGAAACCCTGTGGACGCCTCCAAAAAGTTATACCCTTAACCCTAAACCCTACACCCTAAACCCGAAACCCTAAACCTTAACCCCAACTCCCACACCCCCTCAAGGCAGACAGAGGGCGCAGCCATGCCAATACGAGCGCCCAGCCTCTCCACGTTCTCCTTTCGTCGAAACGGCCGGTCCAGGGTTTGGGGATGAAAGCTTTAGGGTTTAGGGTGTAGGGCTTTTTGGGTTTAGGGCTTTTTAGGGTTTAGGGTTTAAGGGTTTTTTGGGTTTAGGGTTTTTTTGGGTTTAGGGTTTAAGGGTTTTTTGGGTTTAGGGTTTTTTGGGTTTAGGGTTTAGAGTTTAGGGTTTAGGGTTTTTTGGGTTTAGGAGCTTTGGGGTGTCAGGCCAGGGTGGAAGATCTCAGGGGCTAGGGTGACCTGCAGGCGTCTCCTGGAGTGGGGTCTTGCTGCTCGTTGAGCCACAGCTGCATCTTCCTGCATCGTCATCCTCCTTCGCCATCATTTGGGCGATTTCGCCGATCCGCGTGTCCTTGGGACACTTCCAGGCTGATATCTAGTTGGGCTTTCTGGTCTCCTTGTTTGGTTTAGGACTCTGGGTGCCAGAGGTAAACTTCGCCTCTAAATCGTCCGAGTGGCCATACCGGTCGCCACTACCACGCCGCTGCATCGCCCGCTCGCGACGGGACACCCCGAGAAGGCCATGTTCTCAGGTGTCAGCTTCGTTTGCTCCTTGATCCTGGGCAGGGTTTAGGGTTTATGGTTTAGGGACGGATTTCAACACCACGCTGTAGCTTACACACTTTGGTCAGCTTTCCCCATCTCCAAATTCTCCTAGACCTTTAACTGCCTCAGCTACCGGATACCGAAGCCAAAAGTGTAGACCTACAACCCGCAGTCACGGAACCCCAGACATGCAAACTCTTGCGGTTCAAAGACGCGCCATCAGCCTTCAACCTTAAAACCCAAAACCGAGAAGGCCCAATGTAGGGAGTCTCAAGACTTCGTCGTAAGAGTCCCCTACAGTCCCTCCTAAGCTCTAGTGGAATATACCCCACGGCCCCAGTCTAACCAGTAAGGCCACCTATACTACGCCTTATAGCAATCCTTTGTAATAACCCCTACAGCAACCCTGTGAAGAACCTCTGCCAAGGAACCCTAACTACTACAGCGAATTTGTTTATCGACCCCTTATACAGCCCTTATACAGAACCCTTATGGCCGCTTGTAAATCCTGTTCGACGTGTTCAGGCTCCGAATAGTACTAACCGCTAAATCCTGTAAATAAACCCTCCAAATGAACCCTACATGGTAAATCTTTCAAGGAGCTTGGTGTTCTTGGGCACGTCCTCAGGCTCGCCGGTAAGAGCCTTTGCAAATAAATCTTCTTTGCAGGGGGCTTAGGGGATCTTTTGTTGAGGGCTCTGTTACGTCCTCCTTGTCTGGCATCTGCAACTTTGCTAGCGAAGGAGCCTTTGCGTTGGCTCTTGGAATGTCCTCTTCCCCTATGTAAACCCTTTCTAGGTTGTCATTCCCGCTAGGACACCCCGTGTTCCACCCTAGAACCCCGTTTAAATTGGCCTTGGCGTACCCCTGATACCATCCCGGCCTTAGAGTATCCCTTAGTCGTCAAAATGCCCCTTTGAAGACCGTACCCCCTTCTACTGACAGCGCCCCCAATCGCAACCGCTAAGGAAACGTTCGAGTAACTCCTGAAAGTAACCCTCCTAGTACCCCTATGGACTTAAAATGTCCGTGGGACCTGCCTTCTCGTCGACTTTCAAGTCGCTTGTCGACAGAAGCCTCACGTCCGCCGGGACCACGTCGCCTGGCAGCTTCCCAACACTAGGAGTTTTCGGTGTTGTAGACTTTTCGTTCATTCATAGGCCTCCCTGTGGGATGTCGGTGCAGGGTTTCGCCAAGTGCTTCTTTTATTGATATTTATGTCTTACAGGGTTCTACAAGGGTCTGGGATTTTCGGCGTGTCGTGCGCTTCTTTGGGTTTGTAGTCTACGAACCGATTGGAGCCTCGGCTAACTCGGTGTCGGTTGCGAGGCTTCGGTTTTGGTCTCTATGGCGGAGGGGCAGGCAGAAGAAAGATGCCAGAAGCAGGGTTCTTGTTAATGGAGTTACTTTAAGTTACCACAACAAGGAAACCGTATTATTGAATATAGATCCCTATTATGGTAACTTAAACTAAATCCCTCAACAAGAGCCCAGGAAGTCTTGGCGCTTCCCGGCTCTGCGAGTTCTTTGCCTGTCTCCAAAACGACGACGTCCCCGCGGACCACCTGTCGCGGGGTCGCAGGGTTCAAAGTCCAGGATCGAGGGCTTCAGGCGGTTTTATTGTTTAGGGGTTTTGTTTGTTAAGGGTTTAGGGTTTAGGGTTTTTTTTAGGGTTTAGGGTTTAGGTTTTTTTTAAGGGTTTAGGGTTTAGGGAATCGAGGGAACTGGAGGGCTCTAGGATGTGGGACGCAAGCGTGGGACGCAGGTGGCGAAGCACCGGTTCTTAGAGGGCTTAGGGTTTAGGGGTTTAGGGGTCTATTTAGGGTTTATGAGTGTTTAAACAATACAGGGGTTTAGGGTGTTTAGGGTTTAGGGTGGATTGCACAAGCAAAGCAGCAGAAGGTGGTTTTGCAGCATGTTGCACTCTGACTACCTCTTGGGTGATAAGCGAATAGGACTACCGATGCAGAGCTTGTCTTGGCCTTTCCTGTCAAACAAGTCCTATCCCACGCCCACATCCCTGGACCCTGAAACGGCCCAAAACCCTATCTAGATCCTCAAGCCCATAAACTGAAGGTCTGTCGAAGAAAAACCCTTGACCCGAAGAACCAGAAACCTAAGGACCCTAAAGTCACGATAAAGCCCATCAAAAACCCGAGCAAAACAAATGAACATTCAAAACTCGGCCTCTACTGTCGGGAGGCGAACTGGTTTGCCGTCGCGCAGCACCGAGACCTTCAAGCCAGAACGAAGGAAATCTGGGAGGTTTATTTTAGGGTTTAGGGTTTAGGGTTTCGGGTTTAGGGTCTGAGTTCGGGAGGCTTCGGATCTGAACCGTAGGGGCTCTTAACGTGCAGGGATGACTCTGGGTGGTTCTCTACATTAGGGTCCCTTCTTAGGTCCCCAATATGGTACGGCACCCTTATAAAAGGGACCCTAAAAGGGACCCCAACTTAGAAAACTACCCCATCTGCAGGCTGTTGGGATTCCACCCGATCCCAAGCTTCCAGAGCACCTCACTCAAAAAGGCCACAGTGCTTCGCCCTCTACCGAAAGAGACTTCCCAAGAGGGGCTCCGTCTCCCCGACTCGAAGAGCGTTGGCTACATCGCCGGGGGCATTCTCAGCTTCAAACTGGAAGCTGCCAGGGATCCGAACTCCCCTTATAGGCTCAGTGGTGCCAGGCTCTGGTTCGAAGAGCTTCGGCTTCAGTGCCAGGCCTGGAGTGAAACTCGGCGCGAAGAGATTAGGATATTATGAGGAACATACCCTAAATCATACTATTAAGGCCCCTAATCAAAGTTTGAGGTATATTCCTCATTTAAGGGGTATGGGGTTTTGGATACAAGGTGTCTGCTTCTGGTCAGAGCCGGGCGGCTAGGACCACGGCCCACTAACCCAAAAGCAAGACACCTTCCGGAAAAGGACACGTCCCCATGGAATCCCACCGATCACCCACAACTACAATCCTCTAGCACCCCCCGAAACAGTCAAAGCAAAGAAAGACGATCGAGACCTCAAGGACCCTGAACTTTCGCCTGAAACCCTGTCCCCGAAACGCTGCACCCTAAACCCTAAACCCTAAGGCCCCGATCCCCAATGTGTGGGATGCCTCGGCTTGCGAGAGCTTCGCCAAGGCATCCAGTGCATTGCCTGCCTGCTTTTGCACTTCAGGCTCTGGGGTTCCTTGCTTCAGGGCTTGAGGGAATAGGCTTTAGGGTTTAGGGTTTAGGGACAGCTTCTACTAGAGCACAGCCCGCCTTTACATGGAAACTTGTTGCCAAGTATGTTGCTTGCGTTTTCCCTGCGTCAAACAGACAAACCCTCAACCTAAACCACTGCCTGCACACTTGGCCCTTGGTCCGTACACCCTGAATACATACATCGACCCCAAGCCCGAAAACCTCGATGCCGCTTTCAAAAGTCGTGTTTGGTCAGTTGGTTAAACAGAAAAAAAGGCTCTCGTTGACAATTGCCTAAAGGAACATGCTCGCCAATCCGAAGCTGCGACCCAACACAGAAATACTGATCAGCCCTAAACCCAGTACGAACCCTAAACCCCAGCATTTACAACAAAACCATGGCACGGCCAAGAAACCGTAAGCCAAAGAAGAAACTAAACCCGCCGCACCCGCCTGGTGCTCGGTGTAGGACGTGATGCTGGCATTGATGAGGACAAGGACCAGAATCGCCACGCTGGTTGTGTAGGACAAGGCCTGCTAGGATGGTTTAGAATTTAAGGCTACTGCAAGAGTACTACATCGGTTCTTTGAGGTTTCTGTAAACGGGATTGCAAGGGTGCAAAGATTCTAAGGTTTAGGGTTTTGGGTTTGCTTCGGTCCCTTGTAACCCCGATATTCATCCCCATTACACATTACTTGCGAAGATGAAAGAGCGCTCCAAGACACCCCCGAGAGGGTGCCGGTCTTCAGGGATGCTTCTGCGAGTTTGCAGCAGGGAGCTTATTGATTCTATAAAGCCGTCGCAATGATGGCAAGTTCTTATGCCACCGCCGCTCGAAACCCAAAGCTACTGAATGAATAAACTTCTTGCCAAGTCAGAAGTATGCACGTGGCACGCAACCTTTGCAAAAACAGAAGCTCCGACATCGTGCCCCTCAAGCTACAAGACAAGGACTTCTGTGGCATGGGTTTGGCGCCCCACAACCGAAACCCTCCATCCCAGACCCGAAGCCCATAGCAAACAAGCCCAGAACCGCGCACCTCCTCACGCTTACTGTCGTTAGTGAGGTTCACCACCACCGAGGCAGCCGCCGCCAGCAAGAGCAGCATGATCCTGGGTTCTTGCTGATGAATTCAGTTTAAGCGGCCATACTGGGAACATAGAGTAAATACTATGAAATCCGTATTACATGGGTTTTTTGTTGTATTTGTGTGTGTCTATCTATCTATATATATATATATTTATATATTTATTTATTTATTTATTTACTTATTTATTTATTTTTGTTTATTTATTTATGTATTTATTTATATTTCTTTTTTAGCAATATGGTTTTCTTGTCGTGGTACCTCAGACAAAGTTGCTCAACAAGATCGTAGGATCAGGAAGCTGGTCAGCTGCAGGAGAAAGAGCATCACCAACCCAAGCCTCTGGACTAAATGCTTACAAGGGGCTATAGGGTTGAGGGTTAAGGGTTGTTGTGGGGGTTTAGGGTTTAGAGTTAAGGGTTGTTATGGCGGTTGGAGTTTAGAGTTAAGGGTTGTTCTAAGGTTTGCAGTTCAGAGTTAAGGGTTGTTGAAGTTTGGGATTGTTGCACGTTGGACTGACGAGGTTTGTCGTTCTGTGGGATATTGCTCCGGCTTCCGATTGCTATTGAGCAGGGCTCTGCTAGGCTTTGCTACCCACCATGAAAATCAAGAGTGTGGATGCAGGGCGAGCTGAGAATAGGGAATCACCTTCGTTCAAAAGCCATGCCCATTGTCGGGTGATATGGGATTTTCCGGCGGACCCTAACATAAGCATAAACTCTGAATAGCTCACTGTCAGACTACGAAGGAACACCTCAGTCTTGATAGACCCCCAGATTGGAAACAACCTCCAAGCGGAAGCGTATCCAAAGCTCGAAGCACCAAAGCATGGAAGTTGCTTTCCGGCCACACATATCGGGCATCCCACCTACAAACCCCTCAACCCTAAACCCCAAACCCTCAACCCTAAACCCTATACCCTAAACCCATAACCCTACATCCAAAACCCTATAAACCATAAACATTAAAAAGTGGAGGGTTTTCGGGTTTAGGGTTTAGGGTTTACGGTGTCTTGTGGAGTGTTGGGACTTTGGTCGGGTGGGTGTTTCATCTAACGCCGCTAGGATATTGAAAAGAATCCCGTTAGTGAGAACACTAGTGTTGGTCTGGAGCTCAGGGTTTCTCCCGTTGAAACCTCACCCTCAGACGTCAATTCCTTTCAGAATCCAAACTCAAAACTAAAGACTGTTTGTCATGAGGACGTCTCGGTGATACTCTTGGTACACCAGCTGGAACATGGCCGCCCTGGAAACGCTGCAGTCCCTTGGACAATATGTTCTTTTCTTGCTAAGTGTGGTTCTCCTACTAATGACCTTACTTCCGACCTGCTTCGTAAACCCCTGATTTCCTGAAGTTGGCCAGCATCAGATTGCCCAAGCCCTGGTAAACCAGCTGTCCGCAAAATGTTCAAATCCGGAACAGCACAAGACCAACTTTGCAATAAATGCCACGACTATGACAATTCAGCAACATTCTCCTCAGGATGGTTCCAACATGCCGCCACGATTGCCACTGGCTCAGGATCCCGGCTGCTAAAAAACATCAGTGTGCTTGCCCAAAGACTCCAAACCCTGAACATTAAATCCACGCCTTGGATGAACCACCCTAAACCCTAAACCCTACACCCTAAATCCTAAACACGAACCCTCTCGAAACCCCGAACTTGAACGCCAGACCCCTTCTGTGCTGTGCCTGAACCCGGTCAACCTTTGTGCCAGCTGCCTAACAGCCTGAAAGACTTCATACGCAACCCCACATCCGACATGAACCAGAAACAAAAGCCTGGACCCCTAGCAGGGCCCTAAACCCTACACAAAAGACCTAATGCTTACCCCGATGCCCTATAAACCCTAAACCCTGAACACCCTTGAGTCGTCATCTCGCGCCTCGGCTGCTGCTGCAGCTGATTCGGGCCGTCCTTCGCGAGTCGAGCGCGGGCCATCTCCTCACCCATGGTACATGGGGTTTAGGGTTTAGGGTTTAGCAGTTTAAGGGTTTAGCGTTTAGGGCTTAGGGTTTAGGGGTTTAGGGGTTGAGGGGCTCGAATGGTCTAGGGGCCGCCCCATCAATCAGCATGCGGCGTCGGAATGTTCATTGAAGCTTAAAGTTGAGGGCAGTTCGACGGCCTCGGGCTCCAGCACTTGATTGGGCCTCAGGGTCGACTTGAACCTTTCAAATAAAGTTCACGAAAGAGGCTACCACATTATTTATGTGTGTGTGTGTATATATATATATAATGAGCACACAAGCAAGGGTATCTCCCTGGTGACCCCCGACTTTCGAATCCTCCTTGGCCCATCCTTCAAGTAGGCTGCTTTCAAACTCATCTTCTGTAAAGCTTCGTACAAGATTCTCGCACTCTCACAAAGACCTCGCATGCCCTCGTACGAAGAGCCTGAGCGGTGATAACACCAGGAACCTAAGAGCTCTCTTCAGAATTCCAGAAG